TAAAAGAAAATTCGAACGTAAATGAATACTGCAGAATTATGTCCGCTCGCGATTTTTGATCACAGGAAATAGTGATATCCAAACAGGTACGGTGGTATACGGTGGCAGCATCGTGAGTAGAAAACGGACTTTTTCTGCAGGGATTAGAGTTTTAACAAACTTAATTGAATGTATAGGTTTATCCGTGGCATATTCGCAGACTGCAGACTTTTCTACGCGACGATTAATACAATATAATAATTCCGGTATTTCAGAGGGAGGTGTTATCTATGTTTACTCCACATCGAGTATATATAACCAGAAATAGTAACAACAACAACAGTCAAATGGTACCGATATCACTTTTAAATACAACTGTCGTTTGCGTTGAAATCACAGATTAGAAAGCTGAAATAGTACATCGCCAACTGACCCGTGTGTACGTCTCCGTACATTCCAAAAAAATATTCTATACTTATTGTAATAAAGATAATATCTGTAACGAGTAGGAGTTGTTCCATTCGGTGGTGTGGGAAAAACAGCAAAACATCTAATTACAAAACAAACGGAATCACATTTCATAGATAATTAAATATTAAATTGTGTAAATTTTTTTTATGCAATTTTCGTCCATTATTGTAAAACTCAAGTCAAACTGGTAGTAGGAAAGTGAAACAGTTGACGACACCCATTGACGACACCCGTCAATTGTTTCGAACTCGGGCTGGCCAATCGGAGCGCAGTTGTCACAGTAATGATATGGCAGAATAGTTTTCAAACAAATTAAATGGCATTTCGTCTCTATTTCTGGTTATATACTCGATAATACTCTATGTGTATTATACATACTTCCTTGAAATTTAGGTACACATGGTGCACGAAAGGAGCCTCCCCGCACGACGTGCCATACCTTTCCCGTATATCTTTCGTACTCTGGGCAACAATCGTTGAGCGTTTGATGTTAAAATTTTGTATATTTCTAGTTTTATATTTAAAAAGTTGTTTATGTCGATTTACTCACTAGTATGTACTTTCGATATCAGTTTAAAGCTCTTTGATACCTCTTATATTTATGGAATAATCGCCAGTGCACACTTATTGATTACACCCTGTATACACTCAGCTCTTTCCGATTTCTGTTGACTGCAATATTTTATTACGATTTTGCAATTATTCTATTTACTTTTACTTACTTCAGACACCTCAACATTGGAGCTCCCTTCAGTTTGTATCCTGGTTCGCAGGTGAACGTGATCGTCTCTCCGATCTTGTAGTAAAACTTCACCGATGACATGCGGCCGGATATCGTGGTACCAGGGTAAGTACAGGCTTGGGCACCTAGGAACATAGAAAGGCTTTTGAGTACCATGGCCAATTCGTAATTGATTAAAATTTTTGATGTTTATTTTAAAAATGTTTATTGATAATTTAGTGAATAACCACGAAAGAGTTAAAATCGAAATTGTTTATTTATACTTTGATACCGCGTGTTTTGGCTAGATCAATACGTCAACGAGATTACAATTGATTAAAATAATGATTAAACTTAAATTAATTGAATTTAATTTCAATTGAATTGAGTTATAAACGCCACTACAAAATGAACTGCTGGAAGCAGTCATTCAGACAGAATGAGTCAAGACTTACAAGTAGGAGGTTTGTCACTCCACCGACCACTGTCCTGGCAGACAAGTATAGGTCTTCCGTGCAGCGTATGTTCAGGATTGCAGTGGAACTGCAGTACGTCGCCAGCACGATATGGGGTTCTACCCAGCACGTAGCCTGAAGCGGGCGGTGGTAACGCTGGGCAGGATACCTCTGCAGGTAGTTAAACAATTTATGTTAATTTTGATGCCGTATTCTGCGCGTCTTTTTTATTATTATATCAAGTGACGAGACGTACAAGTCGTGCGCCTGATGGTAAGTTACACGCCTGTCCATAGCAATTGCAGTGCTACTCAAATCTTTAAATCGCAAAGAGACATATGTTGACAAGTCTCATGTGCCTGTAATTTCACCAGCACCCTTACGCTTCAAAACCGGAACACAAAAATGCCTGACATTACTGCTTAGAGGCAGAAATAAGTAAGGTGGCAGTACTACCTTGGACGAGCTCTTTCACAAGCAGCTCTCCTGGTACTAAAATTATTTTGAGAAGGTGAAGCAAGTGTGAAGTCAATTTAGGACATGAACCTTTCTTTCTTAGTATTTTTTTTTCTTAAGAATTATCGATTGTGATGGAAGTTTGTAGATACCATACTTTAGTTTCGATGGCTATGAAAAGGAAAATATATACGTCGCATGCAATAACTTTAACAAAGTTGCTAAGCCATATCCGTGGCAGTTCAAATGACGTTCTTCGCGTTGTGGCTGTTAGGGTTGACTGCCCGATTATGCTTCATTGCATGAGACTGCAATCGCCTTCAATTTGCGGACTTGTCTTTTTTATTTTTGATTATTGGTAGAACCCGATGGGACTACACACATTTGTGTAACTATTATAAGAATATGGACTGTATCTGTCTGAAATAAATGAATTTTGATTTGTTATAACTATTTAGCACAAATAGGAAAGATTACAAACGAAAACCTGCCGGCCATGGACCAATACTACAAGGGGACTGCTAATCATGATACAAGACAACGTAGTCGGGTATTTAGTACCTATTCATACACTAGATGTCGCGACGAGTATCAAATACTTATTCTTGTAACTAATTTGTTTTACATTGACAAGCTGCAATTAATCAAAGCTACTCCAATTTGTAGTGTTAACAAACAAATCAACTAGATGGCGCTCATTGTACAAATTTTTATGGATAGTGTCGGCTATTTTTTATTTTGGTTCGGATTAGCTCCATCTATTCATATTAGGAAGCCTTAATTTATAAATAAGTTTGTAATACCAATGCCATCTATTGACACGCATATGTGACAAAATTCAGAACATCATTTCAGCTCATGCTCAATGTTCGAGTAATATTATAAGGAAAAAAATGTGACTTCTTACACCCTTGGTACTTAGAATAATAACGCATAGAATGATAGTTTCATATCAAACGAACTGCCACAAGTGAGGCAAAAATCAAATTCATGTAGGCTAGTTTTAGTAGTAGGTTAATTTTCGGTTTTAGTGAATATTTATATAAAAATACAAGTTGAAACGCGTTACTTCCTTGTGGAATGTGATGTTAGTATCTATTTTATGTTTGTCTGACGTATTTTTACACTCATTTATCGCACATTTCGTCATTTTTAGCTAAAGTTCTTGAGCTGTTCGCGGTGCAAGTTGACCTTGAGCACTGAAGGCTCGCCCGCTCGTGTAGGCCCTTTGGGCGCGCTTCAATTTGCCTCACTTAGCGTGTGCGGACTAGGTTTATATGCGTTATTATTCTAAGCCTTGGTATATTCCAGGCCCTTGCAAAAGATGTCCGTAATGTACCCAGGATGCTGCGTGAGGCCATTGAAATTAAAAAAACATCAAATTTCAACAGGGAAGATGGTTTCTCCGTACCTACCACCAGTTTGGGATTCAGTATTTCCTCTGATGAAAAATCCCAAACAGACATAAGACCGCAGTACTAATTAATATGTTTTAATTTATTGTAATTTCTATTATTAATCAATAATAAATTTAACTTAATAAAAATTCATTGAATGAAATAATTTGTAAAACGTAATGTAGCGTAAATTGAAATGTTTCTTTGTAAAATTAAAATAAGGTATTTAATTAATAACTTTTGTAACTATAGTGAAAAAATAGGGTGGTTTGCATTAATATTAGAAATAACTGGTTGATGACCACCTCAGTCACCATGGGACCTGTAAAGGTTTGTTTGAAAAAACAAATATACGCGACTTAAATCCGGAAAAATAGTTTCATTTCCTATGTGTAACAAACGCGAAAACTTAAGAACTCGATATGACTTCTTATATTTCATATTAAAGAAGTATTAATTAATATTCACGACCATTTACATAATATAAACTACTTCCAGGCTATCTGCGTCATCTAGATGTAAGACGTACTTTGACCTTTTTCAGAGTTATGATCTATAGTAGGGAGATCAACAGTCCTCTTGAGTTGCTAGCGCCATTTGTTTTCAATCTTCGGTTATCGCGGCGAACCGCGTAGCGAGGCGACCCGAAGGAAAGATTCTTCACTTCGTTTTTAGATGGCGCTACTAAGCGAGGAGAGCGGCAAGATGGATAGATATGCTTGTTTAGCTTATTCCATAATTAGTGTGGATATTTACCTCTACAAACAGGGAATGGTCTAGCCCAATCAGCAGCAGGAAGACACACGGTCTCCGATGGTCCAGTAAGGGCCCAGCCAGCCGGGCAGGAGAATGCAGCGCGCCCGCCTACGCCGCGCGAAATCACGGCTACCCGTGGTCTCCTTTCCCCTTCATTTATCACAGTATCGTGAATTACCTCGCCGCATTCCACGCCTAGAACATTGTGAATTATCATAAGCAATCACGATCGCCTACAAACCTCTAAACATTACTTAAAAATAAGTTGGATGGACATCAATGACTTGAATATTAATATAAGTAAAACCAAAGTTATGACATTTAGATCTTAGAACTCAAATCCCATACCGGTTAAAATTAATTACAACTCTGATACTGTAGATGAAGTAGACACATTTAACTTTCTTGGGTTATTAATCGACAAGAACCTAAACTGGAAGGAACACATCGAACAGATGTGCATGAACCTAAACAGATTTGTTTACGCTTTACGAAGACTAAGGCAAACTGTCTCGCGAGAAGCTGCGTTGACGGCCTATCACGGCTACGTTTCGTCCGTGCTCAGCTACGGTCTTGTACTATGGGGTAACTCAGTAATCTTAGAGAGAGCGTTTAAAGTCCAGAAGAAGTGTATTCGAGCAATTTACGGTGCGTGGTTCGATGACAATTGCAAACCGCTGTTTAAAAGGCTGAACATATTATTACCTTTGCCATGCATGTACATTAGGGATATCTGCGTATTTGTCAACTCTCATCCTCAATATTTTAAAACACGCGGTGAAGTCATTCAAAGGCAAACTAGAGCAAAAATTATGAATCTCTTATACCAACCTCGTTGCCATAAAGTAATTTATAAGAATAACTGCTTCAACATGTGTATAATTATTTACAATAAATTACCAAACGAAATTAAATTGTTACAAGGACATACTTTTAAATTAAAATTGACAAAATGGCTTTTGACACATTGCTTCTATAGTAATAAAGAATACTTAGAATTTACAAATTCATTACATTAATTAGAAACTATAGAGACTAAAGAAACATTAAATCCCATTAATATTTGCACATCTGCTTGCAGGTTGAATACAATCTACCTAATTTTACTTAAGACCTTTGTAATTACTGTATTCAAATAAACGTATTCTATTATATTCTATTCTATGAGAACGTCTAGTAATAGTTAAAGCTTGCAATTGATTGAGATTGATGCACTGACAGATAACTGAATTGCAAAGTGATTGTTGTCATTTCATCGGGTCTGCTTGTCGGTTCATTATCGAATTTAGTTACTGCAGTATTTAAAGGAATAAAAGTGGTACTACAGAAATTCTTTATGTTTTACCTATTTTAAACAAAATTGACACCACATATGATATGAATAGATGCGTAATTCGAACACGAAAACGCTCAATGTAAACATGGACATTACTGTGTCAATCATTTCGGTTATACGAGTCGAATCTTTGGACATACATACCGTATACGTCAGGTCATTGGTTTCGTTGTTCCTGTGTTGCTTTGCCCTTTATGGCGCGCAAAAACAAGTCCTTCTCTCGCAGTGTAATTACACATATAAATCACAACATCAAATATTCCAAATTCAAAATTGAAAAAAAGAATTAAACTGCTGCCTGTATTATTTTGTTTTCTTCTAAAGGTCAAAGTTTGGATCAAAATTTGTAAACACGCGACATTCACACATTGTTTTCCGTGAAGTGTAACTACAGTTCTTTAGAAATGCGTAGGTACGTTGTATAATAATTTTAAAACACTATGTTGTAGTAAAATACAGCAGGTAAAAGTTACATAACATGTAATTGCGTTACCTTGACTTTGCTTTGTCACGGTGTGTGAAATTGTCGGTTTCCGTGTTTGCAAAACGCCACGCGGTTATCTGGGCGCTTGTGTGCTAACGCACAGCTTCTGCTTACTTGGATGATAAAAATCTTTGGTAGATATCCGTTTAGCTCTTGGAGGTTGGCTTCATCTATTATAAAACACATCAAAAGTATCTAGGAATAAAGTATGTTCTTGCCTGCCACTGAAAATCAGTATGAATATAGGAAATGAAACTATTTTTCGCGTATATTTGTTTTTTCAAACAAACCGACGTTTCCGGCCCTTTACAGGTCCCATGGTCACGGTTGAGAGAGGTGGTAAAGTCTTTAGTAATAGCCATAACTGGTTGATGACTGTACCATCTCAGTCAACCGTGATCATGGGTCCTGTAAAGGGCTCGAAACGTCGGTTTGTTTGAAAAAACAAATATACGCGAAAAATAGTTTCATTTCCTATTGTAGTATTCCCATGTGTAACAATCGCGAAAACCTAAGAACTCGATCAGTATGGATATTTTTTGGTCACTTAATTTTCTTTCATTATTTAATGTAAGTACCATAGAACTATTCCGAGCCGCAACTTCACGGAACCAAATGATAACCGACCTCCGGTAGGAGATGGCACTTAAGAAGAAGAAGATTGTTTAATGACGGCACCACAAACACCCAAACCCCAAGACAATATACAGAAGTTAGTTTTGTTGACCCGACCGGGGATCGAACTCAGAGATGGCGGCACCATGAAATCCAAGCCACTGGACCTCGGAGTTCGTGGTAAGCGACACACCTGTCCATAATAGTCGCAGAACTTTAAATCGTAAAGATCCCTTCACGGTGAGACAAGTAAGAAAGAAAGAAAGAAAGAAAAATAGTTTATTTGGTAAACATAATACAAATAGAACGTAAAAACAAAAATTAAAATAACATTATTATAACATTTACTTAAAATAAAACAGTATTATGTTTAAGATGGTACCAAAAAGGTCTCCACTCAGCTTATTTGTAACGAGACGTAGGGAAACATCTCGTCACGCTGATTTTCAGTGAAGCCAACAATTTACCGTTAACAAAAATAAAGTGGCTCCGACCAAGTAAGAAGAAAAATAGAGAATTTAATTTAAATATGAAAATTCAATTCAAAAAAGGAGAAACTGCGAGTACGTGTAGAGTCTGTGTGAGCGTGGATTGTGTGATCACTGTGTTACCATGTATGTGTTCTTGTGATATTAGTGTCAGTAGTGGAATGTCACAATCGCACCGCACGACTGCCAGTGCTGTTGGACACCTGGCTAGATAATAAAAATTTCTTAAAAGACAATTTGAAGGATGCAACAGATTTGTAATTTCTTAATGGTGGTGGAATGTCGTTCCAACATTTCGTGGCAGCGAAACGGAAGCTACCACGAAAGGCAGCCGTGGACACACAAGTCGAATTGCAAAGCGAATACCCACGTGCCTGTAACTTCACAGCATCCTTACCCTTTAAAACCGGAACGCAGTAATGCTTACATTACTGCTTGGCGACAGAAATAGGTACGGTTATAGATATATAATATCAAGTGACGGGGCGAACAAGTAGTGCGCCTGATGATAAGTTACACGCCTGTCCATAACAGTTCCAGTGCCACTCAGAGCTTTAAATTGCAAAGATCTGAGGGGTACTGCCACAGCGCCCGTCACCCTGCGACATAACTGGACTAGTCTTATGTGCCTGTAATTTAAATAAAACCTCTTTTACAAGGAGCTCTACTAATACTGGTATTGATTTCAACGTCAACAGCGCCTATTCTTTTTATCAACAGTACGTATTTTAATGTCAAAGTAAGTATACCACTCTTGCAGCGTTTAAAAGTAAATTTGCCAGCGTTTATAAACCGTTTATCAATAAGATGCCATCAGATTATGAACGCAGTTTTATGCAACTATCCAAGTTAAAATTATGTAACACCACGGTAACACTCGATTTACAACGCGTATTAAAATAACCATTGTATTGTTATGGTTATTCGTATGTTTAACGGTTTTTGACGTCATCTTCGGTGGTAACGTTAGACATGTGTGTAAATCACATAGTCTCAGCACAGAGTGCTAAAAAACCGACCTCAAAAGTACTTGGAATTACATCTATTTGCCAAGTTTTATTGAAATATAGAGATAATAAAAATCAGTTTTCACTACTCAAAGTATATTGAGAGAGAAAAACGCCTTGAATTGGAGAATAGCAAAACCAACCATTAAAATAATTGCTCCTTAAGTAAAATTTAAGCACTATTTATAAAAATGAATGTTCATGCGTGATCAGCCACCCTTAGAGGTGGATGATTTTCTTCAAAATGAAATGGGACCACTATGGAGGTACCCTCTTTCCAACAAAAAAATAATCATGAAAATCGGTTCACAAATACCGGAGTTATCGCGTAATATACATACAAAAAAAAGATACAGTCGAATTGAGAGCCTCTCCCTTTTTTGAAGTCGATAAAAAACAAAAGTATTTACACATTTACAAGGACATACTTTTAAATCATAATCGACAAAATGGCTTTGCTCACATTGCCTATAAAGTAGTAAATGATTATTAATTACCTGGATTTAAAGATAAGCTGCCTCTGCGGCCGAACAGTTACCATGCCGGTCTGCCACGCAGAGGTCCCGGGTTTGATTCCCGAACCGAAGTATTTGTACGACCTACTTTTATTTCTCTCGTTAGGTTGGGTTAGTTGTCTATGTGTGTGTCCATGCCACAGGGTTTCCCTAGTGCGGGGCTATATGTGTGTATGCGTTGTTTACTTATTTAGTATAAGCAGCAGTTCTTTTATTGACTACGCCGTGTCTCGCAGCAGATGTTGACTGTCGAACGAGCTACCATACCTAGCTACAATACCATCACGTAGTGGCGTTACCGGTCATTCACGACGGCTTTTGACAGTGTCCCGCAATAGGATCGCACAACTGCACCGGTTTTGTTCGACGTTGTCTGTTTTTGTATATTTCGTTAAATTCTTGTTTAGTAATGGCTGTTGGCGTCAAAATGAACCTAAAAAAAACTCACACAGTCATCAGAAATCCATTAAAGCACGTCGATCTCCCTGTGCGCGTAATTAACTTAACTCTATGTCATTTAGTATAAGACAGTTCAAAGTCTATCGTTAAACTCCACTTGTTGACCAATACCAATTTAGATATTCTCAACTAAGGTCTAAAGGCCCCTGAGGGTACAAAATTTAGATTCAACAAAAACCAAATAGCAAAAAGTTACGAAAACGGTTCTTTGTTTTCTTAAAGGTTTCTCGCCCCACGAGCTGGTGTCCTTTCGAGGAGTCCGACTCAACGGAGTTATACGGACTCGATTTC